GGGGGGGGGGGGGAATACAACATCATCTATATCCAGTCTACAGCACAGTCCTTTCAACAGTTCCAACAAGGCTCCACACCCATTTGCACCACTCAGATAACCCTGAGGACACAGACCTCCAGGTGGCCTCAACAACTCTCTAAAAGAATGCAAATGACCAGCTGTCTGCAAGGAGTATAAATCCTTCCATTCCCCACCATCCAGTCAGAAGTGAAGAAGCTTCTTGGATGAAAAGCAAAATGTCTTCAAAGAAAAACCAGAAAGTCCAGTTGCCTCTTGAAAAAAACACCTTTGGGACTGCCCCCAAGAGTCAGATATGGATGGACAGGGGAAACTTTTCCCTGTTAACTGTTGTGACTGGAGCCCCCTTCATCAAATGTATGGAGTGGGTCAACTGGTAGAGCATTTAAACTAGGATGGGCGAAGGGAGAGAAAGGCAGATGGATGTTGGTTAGATTGCAACTATCTTATCAAAACCAGAGTGTGTTATAGAGCCCTCGTGTTTGCTGACCCCTTCAGAGATTGCGGGAAACCTTTTGATGTATGTGAGGGAAGCAATTTCTCGCTCAATGGGACCCGGTAAACATCTTGCTTTTCCAAAACAATCACTTTGAGGTCTGTCGTGGAGATTCCTGGGAGACTGAACGGCTTTGGTGTTACTAAGTCCTTGTTTTGAGTCTGGATGTCAGAAACTTGTTTCCATTAATTCTTTCCTGCAAAGTTTTCCCTAGTAGATTCCAGATTCTAGATGTTGCTGGCAGATGATGGCAGAGATCCGTGTTTCTCAACCTTGGGAATCTAAAGATGGAGTGGACTTCAACTCCCAGAATTGGGAATTTTGAGATGCATGGAGTTCAACAATGCATTTTATGAAGGGACTAGGTTGTCCTTTGGACTAAGATGTCACTTGGAGAAACTGCCAAGGAAGACACTGAAAGACCCTAGACTATTGGCTTGTCCTGTCAGTTTTGTGAAAAATTCTGTTTTCACTTTGTCGTTCTGGGGTACTGAGTGTAGACTAATGAAAGGGGAAAAAATGAAGATCAGCTGTGGTAGAATCAGGCTGAAGCAATACAAAACTGACAAAAGTGAATGTCAGTTCTGAATGTACTGTACATACACATGTGTGTGTACACATACACACATACACACATATAAATACATACATACCTGCACACACATATACAAACATACACCTACCATACATACATACATACATACATACATACATACATGCATGCATGCATGCATGCATACATACTGGGGAAACACACACACACACACACACATGCCTGCATATCTATATAGTAGGTACATTATGTCTATCATCTACCGTGTCTATCTATCATCTCTCTCTCTCTCTCTCTCTCTCTCTCTCTCTCTCCATCTATCCATCATCTATCAATCTAATGTATCATTTATCGTAATTGTCTGTCTGTCTATCTATATCTACTGTATTATCTATCTCTATCTACCATCTACATGCACACACACAT